AAATTTGAATTTGTATTTGATTTGATTTTCAAATCAAATATTCAAATGTCAAATCGAATTGCGGAACCCTAATTAGAGCTATTAGGAGAATAATTTTATATCTAATATATGCTTTATATTTAACTTTATTTCTATCCTATATTTGTGTAAAGAAAATGACTTCAGAATTGTTTCCTATATATTAATAAGTTGATAACATGCTAAAACTTGCTCAATAATCTTATGATTAATAAATTTAACATTTCTTGTAATTAGATTTAAAGATTAATTAGACTTATCAGTAATGTAAGTTTTTTTGTCTCAAGGTTTGTGTAAAAGAAATAGCTCTAGAATTGTTTCTTGTATATTAATAATTTAATGATATTCTAGAACTAGATTGATAAACTTTTAATTTACAAATTTGATATCTTTAAGGTTAGATTTAGAGGTTAGATTTATTAGTGATACAAGTTTTTTATCCTAAAATTTGTGAAAAGAAATGGTTTTTTGTATATTGAAAAAATATTGATATACTAGAACTTAATTATTAAACTTTTAATTTGTAAACTAATTAACAGTTAAGTTAAAGATGAGGGACGAAACTCAAAAAAGGCAATTAATAAACAGCTGAAATTATATTAAAACATAGTAAGGGGTACGACGAAACCCCGAAACCCGAAATTAGCCGAAACTATATTAAAAACATAGTAAGGGATATGACGAAATTACTTTGAGGGAGTTTCGGCTGGCATCTTTAGTTAAGTCTAACCTCTTTGAAATTAGACTTAACATATGAAATTAAATCATAAAAATAGAGTATGTATTTTAGGTTTGTAAGGATTGTAGATTCAAATAATTTATTACTTTGTTTCTCAATATTTTCATCTACTTCTAATGACAAGCAGTATAGCATAATTATTTGATATATTATTTGGAATTAAAAATAGGCTAGAATAGCTATATCAAATAGTGTAATTCTTGGTATCAAACAGGTTAATTCTTAGTCAAGTTTGATATTAACATTTTTGATTAGTTAGATTTGAGCCAAATCAGGTAGGAAGCTTAAATTCAATAGTATATTCATAACTAGAATTGATTTGCAAGTGAATCAGAAAACTTTTTATATATTATTCAAAATTTTTAAGATTAAAATAAATATAATAACATATTTTTACTATTTATAATTACTAATTTATAAGCTTTTTAATTTAAAAAATTAATGGTTATATTACTTTTGGTTGTCATTATATATTGGAGATGTCTAAGTCCTATATAAATATGAATATTTAAATTTTTTATAAAAAATTAATATAACATATATTTAAAAATTAATTTAAATAAAATTTTTTAAAATATTTAATTTTTATAAAATAAACTAGAAGATAATTATATATCTTTAAATTTATAATATTTATAATTTATATAAATAATAAATAACTTAATTATAATATAATAATAATATTTTAAAGAAATTTTTATAAAATGAAAATCGTTTTTTAATATTTAAAAATTTATTATAAAAATATATTAAACTATATTTTTTACATAATATTTATGAAATTTTTTGTTAATATAATATTTTATTAGTAAATTTAATTATAAGCTATCTATCAATTATAAAGTTGAAATTAATAATCTTCTATAAGCAATCTTATATATAAACTTTCATGTGACCCATCATGCAATAAATACATTTTTAAGGAGGTTATAGAATTATCCGAAAAAATTGTATTTTTATACAAATATACCAAAAAAAAACCCCCTTAATAAAAACGTTATTTGCCTCAAGACTGGTTATAAATTTAATATGATACCCGCGTTAAACAAAGCTTTCCAGTTTATTATCAAGTTTATCTTACAGAATTATTCAAGCAGTCATAATGTCGAAGGTGAAGACCAACATGCGTTACAAAACAATCTCCGGATCACGATCTTTGTTCGAGTAATTTATTACACATGTTACGATATCTAAATCAAGAAATAATATAATCGATCAATTTCATTGGGTTTCCATGATATGTTCAGAGAGGGTCACAATGACAAGAATTTGATTACAATGAGAACAATCCAGTATTAATAATTCTTAATAATGAAGGTCTAATACTTGAGCCTGTGATGTCACTGAATTTTTCGAATAAGGAATATCAATGTTTTCCAACCGGTTAAAGATGTTGTTTCACTACATATAAATAAGATCAACAAACTTACACAATTACTAAAAAAAGAAACTAATTTTCTAAAAGGAAATTAGTTGTATTTTAAGGCATATTCAAAGGATCGATCCTTCCTTAATAGTCATGATTGTCACAAATTCCAAATGAGGAAAAAAATTATATTTTCTAGTTCAAAAGAAAATCTGTCCCAAGTTAAGAAGATCGGCTTTTAATCTAAATGAATTCTTTTGTTTCAAAAGTGGAAACAAGAAAGCTTTCAAGCTGAATTTAGCATCGCCATACCATCGATAACAAAAAGGAATCTATACTTTATCAATGAAGACTACATATTTATCTATACCTTTTAGTTCCTATATTAATTTAATAATCTTTAAAAAATCAAAGCGTTTTTGAACGAGATGCTAAACGAAAGTGTCAACAAACGATCTTGGATATTTTCAACACGTGTATTCTACAAAAAATTGAACATTCATTATCTACTCGAGGAAAAATCTCTCCTATTCATTAGTCTAGATTCGATGATTTTAGCTAGTCACTATGATGCCCGGGATTGCCCACATATATATAGGGATAAGGCTGGTTATTTGTCATCAGCTTGTTTGAATTGTGTGATAAGAAGGATCGAGGTACCAAACATTGCGACATCGGGCATTTGAAATTCAAATTTGACCAAGATGTCTGTGCATACTATTCGAAGTCATTCATATCATATTATATGTATATTTGTTTTATAGAAAATTCTTCTTGTTTTTTGATAAAGTTCATTGTTATTTATAATTCACCATAATATCAATCATATCATAAATAATAAGCCATTTCACCGCTTTCATCATTTTTTTTTTCGTGTATAAAAAAAAAGATCAACAAACTCGGGTTCAAACGAACCCCTTCCTATACTGGGTACCTATCAAATATGGTTGTGAACCATCACTTAATTAAACCCGAATAAGATAACGCAGGACTGGGAACAGATACGGGAACTTCTTTCGGTCATCATATTTGGCACTAGAAAATATAAAGCCTCTTTCATTTCCATCTAACAATTTTACTCTACCTTTATATTGTCATAGAAATAAAAAAAATGATTTTTTTTTTTGACCACGAGGACAATCTAAATATTGGTACTAAATGTCACAAATGTCATATTACATCATAGCACCTTTTACTTTATGTGATTGAAACTATATAAATTAATAAATAATCGCAATTTTGGATAGATAAGAAATTTCTAGGGATAAAATTAATAAAAAAAATTCGCATTCTTTTATTTCATAACGCGAAAATTAAAAATTAAAATTTAAAAATTAAAGTCTTCAATGGATTGGCGTTCTCTTGTTTCTACAGACGAAAGACTTACTAACATTCTCAGAATCGCGGAATTAGCTCACGCAGTTCAACCTTTTCATGAAGTGTTAAATCGCGCTAAACAGGTGGAAGAAAGCGTCTTTCAAAAAGCAACTTCTCGGGTAAATTAAGTCTCAAACGCTTCCCCTTTTTGTTTATTCTCTTTATAATAATCTTTCTTTAAACACACATACGTTAGGAATTTTATATTGCTTCTATGGACCAACTTGTTAATTATATGAAAAAAACTATTGAAGATAAAACAAAACAACATCTCGAACAACTTGCAGAAAAGGAATATAAAGAATTGTTGAATAGCGGTGACTCGAGTTCAAAAAATAGGCTTGATCAATTAAAAATTTTGTGGACAAAACGAATTGATGAAATTATGGAGCAGTCGCGTCGTCAACAAGTTTTTCAGTCACAGCGTCTTCATTTATTATTGCAAAATTTGCAACTTCAACAATTATTACAACAACAAAAGAATCATCCAACTCAACCTGCGAACTTAACTTCACTTTTACAACCATTACCACAACTTACCATACCGGTATTACAAACAACTTTATCAAATGTTCATCAGCCAATCAATCATTTGATTTCACAACCACAACCTACAATCATGTTTCAACAACCGCAAACAATTTCTCCTTTTTATCAACAACAATCTATTTATTCTTTTCAAGATCAACCAATGACAATTCAACAGTTATTTCCTCCTTCACAACCCTCTTTTACATTACAACCACTAATCACCCAACAATCTCTTACAATGCAGACGACTGCTCCATTAACCACTCAAACAAAGTCAGAACAATCACAATTATCACAATCATCTTTACCTCAGGCTTATTGCCTCGTAAAGGATGCTAATGTACATAAGGAGGATTTCAAAGCAGCTCTGAAATTACCGATAAATGAACAAAAGAGGCACCCACCACCTGGTGCGCCTGTGATACCGGTACACGCTTTAAAAGTTGAAGACGTTCATGCCGATACCTCTTCCCAGGTCCAACTCCATCAAAATTGTCAATTAAGATGAACTAAAATGTCACCATTTGAAATTCAATATTACACAAATGGTATGCCAATTATGATTGAGATACTAAAAAATAAGTTCAACTATCTGTAGGCGAATTTATCGAGATCCAGGCTACACAAAGATTATCTTGAGGCGCAGCTCTCTTGCATGGTGTGGTACCGAGTATACATACTGCATATATTCGGCTAGTCTCGAACAACTTTTGGAAGTTGTTAATCAGCTGGCCGCCTTTTCTTTTCTAATGATGATAATTATTAATTATACATTCGGTATATTTTTTACTAAAATTTTACTTTTTTTTAAAAAAATTTCATTAGACTCATTTCATTTATTTGGTCTTTCGATTGACAACTTTATTCAAGTCGAGATTCGGTTGTCTTGATAACTTCGCTCTATGCTGGCTATGATTTCTGGCCATAATTTTGAAAAAAAAACAATTGGAATGGTTTTTTACGGATTTAAATTATCAAAGTTTCATAAAAAAGAAAAAAATTGACCTGAAAAAAAAGAGAAAAAATTTGTATTAAAATTTTCTATAAATAAATTATTTTTATGTTTATTTATAGGATTGGTCACGTAGGGAGCGATAACATGTTTTGTATATTTAGTTACTTTTTCTTGCAACCTTGATGACAAAATGGAAACAAAACACATGATTTCACAAACAAATTCAGGGTCCTAGAACCATGTCATGTCTATAATTTTCAAACAAAAAAAAGTGGGATTTCTTTCACTTTTATTTGATTTCATTCATCCATACTGAATACATAATGTTTAGTTTGGCTAACAAATGTAATTTATTTTACAATTTGATTCTAGATTTGAGGGAGGGTATCGTGTCCAATCATATTTATAAAATATATGGGAAATTTTGTCATGAAATTTAGTAAAGTAATTATGAAAACTTTGTTTTAATATTAAAACAAACAATAAACTATTAATAAAAAGTTTTATGTTTTTAAAATAATAAATGATATATAATAATATTTTAAATATTTTTACAAAATATAAATAATTAAATAAATTAAATAAAATAATATACAATTATTTTATTAAAAATTATAAAAACTATTTAAATTAAAATAATAAGTAAAAAAAATTTATTTACTAATTTTTTAGTTTAAAAACTTAACTCATTAATTATAAATATTAAAATTATATATAATTTGAATTATTTTAATATAAAAGTAATTATAATAAAACATAATAATTTATAATACTTTTTTTTTTAAGGTATATATCTAGATAATAATATAAGGTTTTATAGTTTAAGCTACTTTTATCTAGAAGTAAATCATCAAAGTCTTCTTATAAAATGATATTGAGCCCAACCATTTATTTATATTATTACTGAAGGTTACCAACTAAGAATAGATCTTAAGCAATCATTTTAGAAAACATATTTAGATATTAAGTTTTTATGTGATTTTCAAATTTGAATAAAAGAATCAGTTTACCTATAGAATCATCATTTTTATAAGTAATCTACAATTTAATTATACTCATATAGGATCTTTACAATAAAAAAGAAGGAAACTGTCAGGAAAAATTAATTTTACTTTTATATATCAAATATGATTTTTAGGCTAAAATATGTTTAAATTTAGTATTATCTTATTTTTGATTTTTTCGGCAGTTTCCCCTTTTCTATTGTAAAGGCTTTATATAATGCATTATTAAACTAATAACTAGAAGTAATCTTACCTAACCCAGTGATTTTGTATCCCTATAAGAAATCGAAATAAGGAAATGATACGTTTTTGTTAAGGTTTGTATACGTAATTAATGATTCTATATCAA